CGCAATTAATAACAAAAGAAAAAAAGTATATTGGGATTGTTTACTGAAGTGGTTAACGCAGTGGGGTCTGAACTGTGAGTGAATTAAAAAAATAAATGGTCCGATGTAAAGGTGCAGGTTAAGAGGAGAACAGTGGAGCACAGTCAAAGTGTGGACCGAAGAGGCGGGGGAACAGGGGATGCTGAAGTAACACCCTTTGAGGAGAGTTGCCTCAATATTGGGCAACACTTTACTGTCTGGAGTAGTGTCTGTTAAAGGCACAAATGTATTAGAGGAATACTTTGTTAGGGTGGTATAGCAGCACCAGTAGATTTTCCTTATTATAGTAGCCATAGTAGTATTATAGTAGCCATTTTTTTTTATCTGTGTAAAGAATAAACTTTGATGTATCACCTGCTTTTGTTCATATCTCGGACAGTTTTACCTTTTAAAGTTTATTACAATATTAATCACATTAATCACAAGAAAACACGAGTTGCTCTACAAATATATTTTATTATGGCCAAAATAAAAGTACACTTACTAAAAAGTACTGATGTTTTTATAAATAAAAAAATACATCAGTAAAAAACCAATGACTGGTGGAAAAACATATTCTGTGATTGTGTACTAGGGTCTCCACTTTTGCCATGGCCTCTTTTGGTTTTAATAAACTTGTCCTTCAGGTTTTTCCAAACCTTTTACCTAAAACTTTCTCCTTTCCCACTGCTGTTGCAATATCTAGCCAAGATTGATCATCTGGTTATCTCTCTGATCACAGTTCATGAGATGTGTGTACAGTCGTACTGTTTCAGATAAAATCTCTTTTAAGTGGTTCATATTCAACTCAAATCAGTTTTTAGAAATGCGTCAGTAAAATGCACTAAAACTCCGCGAAAATAAAACACCCAGAGATGAGACACATAAGTTTATAAAGCTTGAAATGTCTACTTTTAAAAGCAGCTATGCATGTTGAAAACAAATATGGTTTGATAAAGTAATCAGTATGAAACCAACGCTATGTCTAGCTTCTCAGTCTGAGCTCATTAGAGTTAATGCGACCACGCCCACGAAGCTTTGACATTACAAATAACCTGCATGAGGAGCGCGCAACAGTAGACTGTGTCAGGAAAAACACGTCATTAAAATGAACTGAAACTCAGCAAACACTCGACAAAGAAACATGTGAGATGTTTCTAAAGAAAGCTTGATATGTCTACTTTTGCATTAACCAATTCAAGTCGAAAACAAATAATCTCCTTTCATGTAATCTGTATAAAAGTAAGGACTGGTACTTATTCTCCTGTCGCCTCATTACAGCAAACGTGATCCCGCCCGCAGTGAAGGCGCAGTTCAAATGGAAATGAATTAAGATGAGCCAGCCAGGTGATAATGTACACGCTCCCCGAGACATGGCATCAAACGACAAGCTTTATTATAGTTACTTATTTTTGTTTGAATGATGGCACGCTACACGGGTGAAGAAGCACAGTACTAAACAGCGATAAAGAATTTACCTTCTCCTCAGAGGAAGAGTGCGATGTTCTATGAAACAAAATAATTAAATAAATATATATATATATATATATATATATATATATATATATATATATATATATATATATATATATATATATATATATAAATTATTATAATTATTATAATTATTATATGTATATTATAAAAATAAATACTTGTTTACAATACAGGTGCTGTTCTGTTTAAAATTCCTATGTGGGAACTGAGTTTATTAGGTTTACTAGTATCGAGTTATTTTGTGTGATAGTTAAATATATTTTAAATAAACTGCAAACAAAAAATTATATAAATAAACTTATTTTTTTCTCAGATTTTTTCTTGAAACTCTGTCACATAGCTGTCTGATGGCTCATTATGCAGGTCTTTGTCTTCAGGTGTGACTCACTGCATAGTAATGATAGTTCACGCCTTCTCGCATAAACCATTTTCACACAGAAAGTGACTTAGAAATTTTAATTCATTGTATTGTTTACTGTGAGCAGGTGAACAAGATGATTCTCACATCATTTTGAAGCAAAAACACTAGACTACCAGATCCAGTTCTCAAAAGTCTTGTGCACAAATGTTCTCTGTGTGTTCCACGGCCTTGTTTCAGTGACTTCAAAATTTTACTTTTTCACTAACCATGCATAAACGTTTCTTTCTCAAAAACACAAACACATACAAACATGCTATATAGGTATTATTGTAGTCCAACTTGTGCTGTTTACAGTGTTATCACACTTTAGCCATTAATATGTTTTAAGATACTGAAAACAACACAAATTTCAGTGCATGTCAAAACTTCTCCAGAGCCCCAAAACACCCTCAGACCCCAAAGGGTTAAGCATGTCCCGATATTCATGCAAATGTGATCTTAGAATCGAGAAGCAGCACAACTGACAAAAATAACTGTGTTCGCCCGAGCAAAACAGCAAAAAAGAAGGTAAATACCGAACGAGTGGATGATCACTCGCACACACAGGTGATGTTAAAAAGCGGGCGCGCACCTGTTTACTTGCGCGAATCCCGTGCCAAGAGGAAGCGCAACTGCTGCGATCGATTCCCTTTGAAATAAACTGGAAAAAGAGCAATAACAGGCCTATATTAACTGTGTGCATGTGATCATCCTTTAATTATCACACACGGTATGTTTCACCTGCTTTCATTTGCTTAGTTATTTTTGTTGATATGGTTTAATTATATTTTTTACAATAATATTGCTTTAATGGGAGATTACTTCCCGTTTATGTGTAGTTAACTGCTGATCTGGGACTTTTAGCCAGTACCGATTACTGTGCATATTTTAGATACATGACAATACTTCTTTTTTTTTTATTTAATGTTTTTTTTTAAAGAAAAGTTTGGTAAATCCTTAATTTTGAGCCGTAAAAAGTCATGTGAAATAAAAACGAATTGCATTGCGACAACCCATTTGTTGTCGCAAGCTAATACACAACACACACAAGAAGTTAAATGAATGAGGAGGCATGTTGTGGACTTAACACAACATCTAAATCAAGTCATCTTGGCATGTCAAAATCAAATTTATGCATACAAAATATATTTCCCAACAAAAAAAGTGTGGCTAGTAAAAATTATATATATATATAGTTGAAAAATATTTACTGATTTCCCAAGTGTATATAACTACGGTAAGAAAACATAAACATTTGGTACATACTTTCAGTATTTTCTTTGCTTTAACTGAACCATTCGAATCTTGTTTATATGAAATGACCAGTTTGAGCTAACAGAACTGTTGCTATGACAACATCTCTTGAATCAGTTTTAAAGAATAAAACGATCCTGGATCGTGTCAAATCGTCAATAACCAAATCCAGCTAATTGAGTAATCCACGTACGAAGATCAAACCCGTTTAACACAGTGGCCAATCTAACTAAAAAAAAAAGCATCATCATACATTTCTCAACACAGCAGTGATAACTTTATGAATTTCTTTATATGCAAGATAGATGATATCAGAGATAAAATAAGCACCATCAATCTGCCTCCAACAGCATTGTCCCAATTGTGGATCGTTATTGGATAAACCTCAGACTTTTCAGCAGTAGGTGATGAAGAATTGTCTAAACTGATAAAATCCTCCAAATCAACTACGTTTATGTTAAATCCTCTATCGACCAAATTATTGAAACTATTGTCTTCAGAAGTTTCTGAACCTAGTCTTAACATTTTGAATTCATCCCTACTTTTAGGATATGTGATTAAAACATTTAAACTAGCTGTCATTAAGCCTCTTATAAAAAATAACACAGCTTGATCCCGAAGAACTAGTAAATTATAGACCTATTTCAAACCTTTTTTATCAAATATATCAGAAAAAGTCATATCTGCTTAGCTATGTTTCTTCTTACTGAGAAACAATATTTGTAAAATATTCCAATCTGGATTTAGAGCACAGAAACAGCACTCCTAAGAGTTACAAATGACCTCCTGTCATCCAATCATAGTTGAATTTCTTTCTTAGTGTTATTGGAACTCAGTGCTGCATTTGATACAATCGATCATAATATTCTTCTTGATAGGCTTGAAAACTATGCTGGTATTACAGGAACTGCATTGGCCTGGTTTAGGTCTTGTCTATCTGAACGTTATAAATTTGTATCAGTTAATAAAGAGGCGTCATACAGACCAAAAGTACACTGTGGGGTACTACAAGGCTCAGTTCTTAGTCCCTTACTTTACACAATATATATGCTACAGTTAGGCAGTATCATTAAAATATGCAGTTTCCACTGTTAGCTGATGATACACAACTTCATATCTCCTCTCAACCTGATAATTTGTATGAATTCATTCAGTTGATTGTATAACTGATATAAAAACATTGGGTGAGTGGAAAATTCTTAATAATAAATTCAGATAAAACTAAAACTTCACTTGCAAAAACCTAGAACACTGTCTAACCCTTGATGACTTCTCAGTTCAGTCCTCATATTCAGTCAAAACTGTAAGGGTGAATTTTGACAGCAACTTGTTGTATAAAGGCTAGATTTTAAGCATCAGTAAAACTACTGAGAGTGTTACTTTGCCATTGCCTTCACAGGACCAGTTACATATGCAACTAGCATTTTGCCAGAGCAAACTGACATTTTCTGCAAAGGGTTACAGTGGGAGGCAGCAGCTTATTTGAATTTAATCTAATACAGACACAGGGTTGTGTTTTTTTACTTCATTTTCAGAATGGTTATTGTTTGTGAGGTATTTTGGCTAAAAACAAACAAACAAAAAAAATTTTTTAAACAACAATACATCTTTTAACAATCAAAATAGGGCCCCTTTAAGGTATCACAAAAGCATTACTGATAACAGTTGCAGTAAACAGTAGAAAGCAAACATATGCATATACATCAACCATAGCATGTAAAAAATTTACTGCATGTATTGACCATTTCTATTTGGCATTATTGACATCAAAAAGTTTTAAAAAATTTCCATAAAGAAAAATTTTGGCTGGAAATGCATTTGTAAAAAATACCTGTATGGATTTTTTTGTGCTTCTTTAGATGATCATGGCGAATAAATGTTTTTCCACATTCTTCACATTCATATCGCTTGTCCTCATGATGAACACGAAGGTGAAGTCTAAAAAACAAACAAAACCCAATAACAGAACAGATTTAAAAAATGAATAAATAAATAAATAAATAAATAAATAAATAAATAAATAAATAAATAAATAAATAATAAATAATAATAATAACAGTAATAATACTTAATGTTCTACCCAACCACTGTTGATCATGTTTAATGTTTGGGGGCAACACATTTCTTTAATTATTATATATTTTTATTTTTAATATTAAAATTTTAAAATAAATACTGAATCATACTGAATCAAAAAGCAAGTTATTTTAAAATATATATAAAAATATATATATAAAAATATATGTTTCTTTAAAACAAAAAAAATGAATTTATGTGCCATAAACCTTTAAAAAGTATTGTATTACAGAAAAAACACCACATTACAAAGTTGTGCATATTGAAAGTGATTCATTTTATATAGTTCAGACCTGTAGGAGCTTCCGTGACGAAAACTTTGTCCACAGATGCTGCACAGGTGAGGTTTTTCCCCACTATGGATCCTTAGATGCTCCCTCAGTGTTGTCCTAAAAATGTTCAGAGATTAGTAAAAAAAATATTATTTGAATAACAATTAATTCAGAATCAGAATGGAAATGTTTCGCCAGGTATGGTTTACAGGAGCTCAGGGCATATATAAATATCAACAGAAGAGGACAGAAAGACCTTTAAATATGTTTTAATAATGTGTATATATAAACACAATTGAAGTCAGAATTATTAGCCCCCTTTGGATTTTTTTTCTTTTTTTTATATTTCCCAAATGATGTTTAACAAAGCAAGGAAATTTTCACAGTATGTCTGATAATATTTTTTTCTTCTGGAGAAAGTCTTATTTGTTTGATTTTGGCTTTAATAAAAGCAGTTTTTAATTAAAAAAAAAAAAAAATTAAGGTCAAAATTATTAGCCCCTTTAAGCTATATTTTTTTCGATAGTCTACAGAACAAACCATCGTTATACAATAACTTGCCTAATTACCCTAACCTGCCTGGTTAACCTAATTAACCTGGTTAAACCTTTAAATGTGACTTTAAGCTGTATAGAAGTGTCTTAAAAAATATCTAGTCAAATATTATTTACTGTCATCATGGCAAACATAAAAGAAATGAGTTATTAGAAATGAGTTATTAAAACTATTATGTTTAAATTATGTTGAAAAAAATCTTTCCGTTAAACAGAAATTGGGGAAAAAATACACGGGGTCAAATTATTTAGGGGGGCTAATAATATGTATATATACATACATACATACATACATACATATATACATACATACATACATATCTATATCTATATATATCTATATATATCTATCTATATATATATATATATATATATATATATATATATATATATATATATATATATATATATATATATATATATATATATATATATATATATATACCTCTGTCCGGAAAAGAAAACATCTTACTTTCACTTAGGGAGAAAAACATGACAGTCTGTTAATTGATTTTGTTTAACACATTAATTACTTCAAATTAATCGCATGTGTTAACGTGTTAATTTTGACAGCACTATATATATATGTGTGTGTGTGTACGTACGTACGTACGTATGCACGCAAGCACGCACGCACACACACACACACACACACACACACAGAACCAGTTTAGACTGGTTCTTGAATCTGGTTGATAGCAGTGCGATATTCTGCAACATCAGAACTCGTACAGCCTCCTCACCCTTCTGGATTACACATAGAGTGACAGTAGATCAATAAACTTACTATAGTTTCACAAATACAAAAGTTTGCTACGGTTATGCCATCCGTCCACACTACGCCAGAGTGTTTGAGCACCAAAAACAGAGTGTTTTAGAAACTCTGAAAAGGCTGTTTTCATTCTAAAACACTGCTGCTCCGACTCAGTGTGGATGGGGGAAAATGGAGACATCTGAAAATGGAGGCAGGGCTGCAGACTTTTGCCTCTCTGATTAGGGCTTTTTCCTCAATATTAAGTAGCCTACAAACAGTTCAGTCCTGCATCCTCTGAATTAAGTACAGACTTCGCAAGTTTGATACGGAAAACAGATTCCCGAGGACATGTCGGGTAAATCTTCAAAGGAAAAATTGTACTTTATAACCTCATTCACATCATCCTGGACACCAATGTTGTTTTGTCCTAACAATAAAATGAAAACATGATAAAGGAACTGCTATTTTTAATTTTGATATTTGCAACTTAACAGGCAGCAGAAATGTTGAGACGTTGTGCTGCATATATGAACATCATCTTCAATGTGTGCATATTTATAACAAAACAAAGCCTTTACATTATAACGTTACTGTCTCCTTTCATTTTAATTGAAAATATAAAACATACCCACTCTTATGCTAAATATCAATTTTAATAATCAATAAAGTCCATTATGATACTATAACGTACAATAAGCTCATAGATTATGGGAAATAAAGGCAAACAATTAGTCAATATACAGAATATACGTGGTTACATTAATTATTAACATATCTTCGCGCTCAGCCATGCCAAAGTGTGTGTGTGTGTGTGTGTGTGTGTGTGTGGACGCTAGTGTAGACGTGGATCGTTTTCATTCTCAAACGCCGTTTTAAAACTAAAACGTACTAGAAACGGGGCCTTAGTATCCTTGTGCTTTTCAGGTAATCCCACACTTTATGATCTAGAACCTATGATGATAACTTGTATGGTTTGCATTATTTTATACTGCAAGTTAAATGTTAATCGATCCACTTGGGAAGATCCCATCAGAGAGATTAACCAGTGAGGACAACAAAGGAAATCTCCCGCTCAAACTTTCCACTCAAGCCATTAGACAGTCAAGAGAAAGTGGGTGTGACCTGACCAATAGCTTAAACTAATATAAACCCTTTTCTGAATTTGTGAGTTCGATTTCTTTTCCAGCTAATTAAACTCAGTATAGTTTCGTGCCTCTTGGATCCTTCATTGGGCCAAAAACTCCTAAAACATGACACAAGGACTTCCTAAGAATCTGCATTTTCAATATGCATATTGGAAACCTTGGATGAAGAACGTAGAGACCAAAATGCAAGTATTAGTAATGCCTTTCTTCGTTGTGCCTTTTTTCATCCAAAAAAGTTTTTATTGATTATGGTAGGTTTTCATTAGTTGTGTGGGAACAGACTAAATATTGTCTTTCTTTGCCAAAATGTTATATTTCCTCACTAGTCTGTGTTTTATGTATTGTACATTTAGTTTTTTGTTTATTTGTTAGGCATTAAATCATTTTATACCACAACTACTGTCTTTGTTTTGTATCACAGAAAATGATCACTTAAACGGTAAAAGATCTTCTTTTTGCTACCTGCTTTATTAAAATTACTTAAAACTTCCAAAACTTTTCCCACACTTAACGAAACGCATTTTTTCCTTTACAAATACATAGACAGTTAAAAAATCCACAAGTCAAGCGGATAAAGTAATTGTTATATTTATTTTCAGAACTCAGCACGGCCCATATGACGCTTGACCAATTGCAGCAGTTGTCGGTGCAAAACCACACCTCTATTTCTTTGGAAATGAACATCTCCTTGAATGTGGATTGAATGAGTCCTGTGATCAGTAATTTGAAATTGAGTTGTGGTAGGCTTCAAATAAAGCATTATAACAACATGCTCCTTATGAATATGAATTTCTTGTATCAACTGTTATATTTTAAACTTGTATAGCGTTCGTAGATGCTACAATCTAAACATCACACACCTAGTAAATTGGCTATCAATTTTGTACATTACTCAAGTACAGCATACTAATTTGTGTACAATAGACACAGAGTACATTGCAAGCACACATGAAAATCATACAATAGACTTAAAGCTGACAAACAGAGTTTGAATAAATATCCCATTTATACACAAGGTCTGATTTCTCGTTTACTCGGTTGGCTTCAAAAAGCAAGGCAGGGCAAGAAACATGTATGATGGCTATTTCTCAACATTTTAAACAGTTGTTGGGTGAATTGTGTAGGAGGAGTATTTCACATTCTAGTGCATGCATTTTCTTTGCAGTTCAAATTATGAGAATTTTTTTTAGCACAAGTAGGTGATTATATATCTAGTATAGTCTCTTGAATACGATGGAGATATGACTGAAGAATATATTTCTGTTTTAACAGGTATCAGGAGTTTATCAGGTATCAATGAGTTTCCAGAAGCTGGTATAGGAAAAGGATGCAGTTAGAATAGAACAGTTCACACACAGGAACATAGAAGCAGAGATAACTTAGGAGTAGCTTAGCATGATTCATTTTCCATATGAGAGCCCAGATAAGGGCTGTTTCTCAATTCCAAGTACGCTGAGAATCAACTTGCATTCGCGTGGAGATCTTGCCAAGTTACATACATATTAACTGAAAATTATTTTAAAATTAATTTTAATTATTAAAATTATCCAAAGGATATTCAGTAGCCCTGAACAGTAAAATTATGTAGTTAATTTCAAACATTTTACTCTTAACCAGAGAAGCAAAAACAAGGGCTCGCAGGCCAAAGCTGGTCCATATGGTAACCTTTGATTTGGCCCTCCATCCCATCTGAGATGAGAGGGAGAATGATGGGGAATGCCTTTAACAAAAATTGACATTTCTAGTTTTACATAGCCTTGTGTTTGTCTAACAGTTGAGCTACAAAAAAGAAATCTGAAATTAAATGTTCCAATTAAATGTTGCGAATAAATCCAGTTTAAAAAATAAATAAAAACAGACACTCAATGAATAAGGGACATTGCAGAAGACATCAGAAAGCAAATCAAGGCAAAGTGTATTTTTTTGTGTTATAAATGGTATAATAAATTATAATAGAAAATTAGGAAATTACCAAGACAACTTCACAGTTTGTTGTATTTACCTCTGGCCCACCACCCTCAATCAAGTTTGGTTTTTGGCCCTTCATAAGAAAATGCTTGTTGTATGTTCTTGCTGCTTGCAGATTGCCTGTTATAATGTTATCATTAAGCCTCTGAAATCTGAGCGTAATTTAATTTCTATTACAAACTAGACAAAATTTTATTGGCAGAAGGAAATATCTTTGTGAATTTAATTTGATTTCACTATTTAAGCTGAGATTTAAAACAAATATTTTAACAGCTAAAACGCTATAGGAATATGTTTTTTACTTGTTTATACAGTGTGTATTTATATACAAAAAACACTGCTTTGCTACTGTTTGCAACTGCTTCGCACTTTTGCTTTTTATATTTTATACTTCAAGCTTAACTTTAGTCTATCAGCACAGTGCTTAAACTACACAGCTTGAAGATCAGCATCAAATCTACAAACTTTCTTAAATATAACTTTACTAACAAGAGAGGAATTATCGACTAAACAATCTCCCGCTATCAGACGGTTAAATTCCTGAGATGAGAAAACACTAAAAAGAATCTCACTGCTGCAAAAACTGCCACAAACTTCTACAAAAGATTGCAATTCTTGAAACAAAGTTACTTGCGATCCAACCAGAATTGCCTGATCACACAGGACCGCTTCATTGTGGTGCCCAACAGCATACAGCCAGTAAGTCCTGTAAATCTACTCCAGCTACTGTTTTGAGCACAGAAAAAAAAACTATGGTAGAAAATGAGCATTATAAGGTGCAAGACCAAAGGGTACGTGGTCAGATTACCAAGATCATATGCATTTGCATCCTCCACCCCAAACACAGCTTGGATTGAAAGTCAGCTTCAGAACAGATATAAAACTTTTAACAATATGGGTGAAGAATCCCCAAATGCAGTCAGACAAAGATGACATGACTCAGCAGCAGTATTCTGCACCGATCACAGCCAAGACAGCACACTGATTGTTGGAGATTCAATAATCAGGAATTTTAGGAGCAGAACTACAATGACATTCTGTTTCACTCATGCAAAATTTTGTAATGTAAACAAAAAATGGGAAAAATTTTGCACACAACTGCAAAATGGATTATCATCAATTTGGGGAAGAATGATGTTCGGAAGGAACAGTCTGAACTGCTTAAGAGGTATTGTGAGCTCTTGGAAATAGTCAAAAAATTTAAAAACCAAATGTGCTTTCACAGCTCTTGGTATAAATGCATGGCTGCAGAAAACGTAACAGAAGAGGACTGAAATTCATTGACAACTTCAATCTATTTTGGAATCAAAGAAAACTATATACATCAAATTGCCTCCATCCAAACAAATGTGCTAAAGGACAATATCTATTTTTCCCTCCATTATCCATCTGCTGTATGTGCCACTGAACTCAACCCAAATGGCACACAAACCCCTGGTAAATGTCAGAATGACCACAGGACTTTAAATCAGCTCCTGATTGGATTTGGGGCTGATGCATCCCACAACCACAGCGATAACAGCACACAGCCACAACAACCACTGCTTACGGACACACCACGACCTGCACAGATTTAGAGTTCAACACAGATAGACTGTGACATATCAGAACAGCATCAAGCCTCAGCACTCAACAGTGATCTTGAGGAAAATCTTGAATTTTCCAAAAAAAAAAAAAAAGAAAGATAGTTTGCTGGAACTTAACTTTCGCATTTTATTGCTTCAAGCCCCCAGTTAGCAACCAAAAAGTGACAAACTCCACAATCACCTCTGTGACCACCTGCAAGGGCCCTCCAGCTCTTGCCACACAGCCAGGGCCCAAACAACACCCCATCTTCATCAGAGAGAGACACGGATTACAATACTTCCATTTCACAAAAGAGACAAAAAAAATGGAATTTATAATCTCATACACCTTTAGAATTAATTGATCATGTATATATTTAATATGCACTGCTTAAAATACTCCACTGTATGAAACATTGCCTATTAATGTTTATATATGAATGCTTATGTAAAGATCAACATTACATAGTGATGTTTAGACTATGTTTAGAATATGATAACAGTTAAACTGTGGACTATGACTATGCAAATGCATAGTCCTTCCAGTGACCGACTCACAGGATCATCCAACAACAATAATGGATTTGAAAGGTGACACTTTTTCAATCCCACCTTCCAGAGAAAGGATAAAAACATTCTCTCGTACACGGAAAAAAGGAAAGTGCAGTAACTCGGAGGAAAAGAGAAGTGGTAACAGAATTAAGAGAGTGGTATTAGAAGGAAGGCCTGACACACAAGCTATCTGAATTGCTCAAAGATTTCTGAACTTTGCTGTGTGTTTCAGCAAGGCTTTTCATGGTGATTGAATCCACAGTGCTTCTTCCAAGGCATCTGCAACCATAGCTTCAAGACTACCACCTTTAAATCTGCGAGTCTTAGATTTCCAGGAACTCTACCTTTAAAGACGTTGGTGTGTCCCCGACATCAGAACCACCACCTCCAGAAATCTCCAGTTCTCAAAGCTCAAGAAAGCCAAGTCTGCTTGTTCCATGCTTCAAGACCTGCAAGAAGATCCAACTTCTTCCAACCACTGCATCCACAGCAGAAATGTAAATATACTACCTTCCAACCCTCTAAGACAGACCTTGGCATATTATGTGATACTAATTAATAACAAAAACTTCCTCAGTTCTTTGTTATTTTAGAACAAGGTTTACCTTATCAAACTCTAACTTGTCTTTAGAAAGATAACAGAGTTATTAATCATAATCCTCAACTTAATCACCTTCATGACTCACCTATGCACTTATTGTACATTTAATAATTTTAGTTGCCCTTGTATATTTTTTTGTTAATAAATACACATTTATTACAACTGTTGCACTTTTATTTCACAACACATGATGCAAAATGCACACTAATAATTTATACAGCTTACATTCTTTAATACACTTGGTTAAAGTTTATCCATTCCTTTAGGATGGATTTGGTTTATCAATACTTGGTGGTTCTTATTAGCCATGTGTTACTGCGAGAATGTTGCCATTTTTTTTATCTAAATTCTCTAGTTTACTTGATTTTCTATGTTTTTATGTACTGTACATTTTGTTTGTTAGGTGTAGGCTTAAATCATTTTATAACAACATTGGATTGTCTTGTTTTGCCTCATAGAAATGGTCACTTTAATGACAAAAGATTGCTTGCTACCAGCTTAATTATAATTACTTGAACTTCTTTAAAAACTATTCATTTACTTTACAAGAAGTATAATTCCCTTTCTAAATGAGTAAACAAAAAATTAAAGGGGTCTGCTCAGACGAAGTCATTGTTATAATTATTTTGTTAAATTAACTACAAGTTAATTCTGAATATTCATAATTAATAATAACTCGCTATAGTTAATCATTAACATTCATAAACTGAGCTAAATTTGTTACAATTCTCATTTGTAAAAAATGGTGACTTTACAATAAGGTTTCATTAGTTAATGTTACTTAATACATTTCATAACATGAACTAATAATGAACAATACATGAACTGCATTTATTGATGCTAGTTCAACATTTACGAATGAATTATTAAAATATGATTTTATTGCTTGTAAACAGATTATATACTGTGAGTTAACATGAACTAACAATAAACAACTATTTATTTATAACCAAAATGTTAACAAACTTTAAAAATACTGTTTTAAATGCATTCTTTATTGTTTGTTCATGTTAGTAAGTGCATTTACTAAGCTTAACTAATACAACCATGCTGTAAAGTGTTACCAAACAACTAAATTTTAAAATTGGACTCTGACTCTGCCTTTTTTGGTCTCAGTCTTGACTCGGAAACCATCTGTCTGTTTTGTTGTTAGAAAGTGGAGATTTTCTAGATGAATACTTTGCAGCATTGATCTAAACCCACGCTTTCAGAATGTCACAAGGACGGCGGAGTGTTTTTTGCGTTTCCTTTATTTTCAGTTTCATCTTGTGGAGCTCTAGTATAATGTCATGCTCATCCAACTAGTCTTGTGTCTTATGTCTAGGAGTTCATCCATAGTCAAATTAATTCAAAATAAAATTACTTTAGAAAGGACAAACAAAAACAGTACATATACAGAAAAGCTCCAAACCGACAAACATCAACTAGCAAACATTTGCAAACAGTTTATATAATTATGCAATTATGCTTCCATCCACCTATTTTTTATGCACACTTTGAAATATTTTCAATAGAAATGCCAAGATGCACATTAAATAAAAAAATGCACATAATAAAACAACGTTTGCACACAACTGAGTTAGATAAACCTAAGAAAAAAATACGAAACAAGAAAAAATGTGCATGAACAACAACGAAACACATTTATCAAATAAATTCCTGCATGCACATAAAAACAAAACAAAAAGAAAAACGTTTTTTAAGACCATGTGATAACAAAAATATGCACAATGGGATGGCATTTATGGACAAACCAGTGGACGGACCCACATAGCACAACGTCTGAAATGTTGTTTAGATCATTCTAAAATGAAACAAAATGGTAATGGAAATGGTGCTTTAGATACAAATTAGATATATTCACATAAAACGTTTGCATCTTTGGATGGAAACATGACTAAAGATTGAGAATAAAAGCAACTTCTCTCACCTCTCTCGAACTGATTTGCCGCACAGAAAACAGGTCCATTTCCTCTTTCCCCCATGTGTGCACTCTATATGACGTTTGCGGTTGCCTGTGTCATTAAACTGACGACCACAGATGTCACAAGGGAATGGTCCTGAATTATGGACATTTTGTGAACATTAAAAGAATGTTTTGAGCTGAATAAGACTTCAACTTTTTGGTGCATTCACACCACAGAACAGAGATGAAACAAGAAAAACAACACATTCAGAAAAATGGTTTTAGGAAAACTTTACCTAAATGGAACTTTTCTTGGTGCTTTAGCCTGGCAAACCGTGACTTAAAGTAGTCATCACAGTAGGCACACTTAAAGGGTTTATCCTGTGAATGTAAGATCATGTGCTCCTCCAGGTGGGGGCGACGGCTGAAGGACTTGTGACAGATCTGCAAAAGATGCAACAAAAACAAAATGACAAATTTAGACTAACTGCAGACAAATGAAAAGTGTTCACAAACAGAATTTAGTTAAAACTTTATGGCATTCTGTGGCAATTGGCATATATTAATAACATGTTAAAAATGCATATAAAATAACAAAGAATAAATAAGGCATATGACTCACATCACATTTCCACACTTCACTCTTCTTCTTCTGAGTGAGAAACTCCTGCAGGTGGTCAGGATGAAATCTGTTAGCAGACAACATGTTTCATGCTTAAACAATAAAGAATTCCAAAGCCAAAAAACAAGCCTGAATATATATTGTGAACTGCAGCAAGTAAATGCATTAAATTAAAAGATGTTAAGTAAACTAATGGAAATACACAGTCACACAGCATAGTTACACTAAACAATTAAATAACATATTAACACTACATAAATACATATTTACACTGAAGAACTAAAAGTTCTAGTAAAACTAATGTGGTAGAAACTAATAGTTAGTAAATAATGCAATACTTAATTTAGCAATGAAAAATAAATCATTAACAAAGTACAATCATTAAGCACATTATGTGGTTATAAGTCAAGAATACAGCATTTATAGCTCCAGTTATAAACTGCTTGCCAACGTTTAGTAATCTAGAGTTAATGCTTAACAAATAATATATTCACTAGATCCAGAATGCTGCGGCCAGGATTCTGACCAGAAGCAGGAAATCAGAGCACATCACACCTGTCCTCAGGTCTCTACACTGGCTCCCAGTTACATTCAGAATAGATTTTAAAGTGTTATTACTTGTCTATAAATCACTAAATGGCCAAGGACCTCAATACATTACAGATATGCTCACTGAATACAAACCCAACAGATCACTCAGATCTTTAGGATCAACTAGAAATTCCAAGAGTTCATTTCTGGAAGCTGATTCCAGCAGCGAAGGGGCAGAGTCGCTGAAGCAGATTTACCCTGCTTTGACTGAACTATTGGAATTTCTAATTTACTTGATCCTAAAGATCTGAGGGACCTGTTTTTATTCAGTGAGTATATGTGAAATATATTGAGGTTTTAGGTCATTTAGAAATTTATAAACAAGTAATAATGCTTTAAAACCTATTCTGAATGTAACTGGGAGCCGGTGTAAAGACCTGAGGACAGGTGTGATGTGCTCTGACTTTCAGGTTCTGGTCGGAATTCTGGCAGCAATGTTCTGAGTAAGCTGCAACTATCTGCAACTGTCTTTTTTGGAAGGTCAGCGAGGAGTCCTTTACAGTAATCCACCCTGCTGCTGATAAAAGCATGAACAAGTTTCACTTGAGTTCACACTAGAAAGAAAGCATCTAATTCTTGCAATGCTTTTGAGATGATGGTACATTAATTTACTGACTGTTTTGTCATGACTATTGAAATTCATATCTAACTCCAGAATATGACACAGCCAAAGTACACCTTCACCTTGAGAACCTCATCACTGTTTCCAAATGCAATGGCTTTAGATTTCTCTTTGTTTAACTGAAGAAAGTTTTAGCACATTCAACTGTTAATTTCATTATTGCAGTGGCAAAGGGTGTCAATAGGGCTGTAGTCATTAGGCAATAAGGCTAAGTAGATCTGAGTTTCATCATTAGAGCTGTGGTAGGAGATTTGGTTCGTTCTCATTATTTGGCTCAGTGAGAGCATATAAAGGTTGAACAGGAGAGGTGTCAAAATTGAACTTTTTGGGGCTACAAATGTCATGGGTGGAAATGTTATAGATGGATACATTTCTTAAGTGGTGAACAGGAGACTACAAAAAGTAAAAAAAACACATAAAAATTCATTCATTTATAAATATGTTCCAACTAAATTAATATGTATCTTTTCCCCGTGGCTAATAGCTGTCCATGATGTGTATATTATGGGTCCAGTTGATTGCTAATCAAAAGTAAAAACCTTTTAAAAAATGTACGAGTTGCCGAAAAGAAAATAAATAAATTATAAGAGAAATATTTTTTGTGCTCATAGCCAGAGGGGGGTAGTAACGAGTTACATTTACTTCGTTACATTTACTTGAGTAAAATTATTGGGTAATGTGTACTTTTAGAGTACATTTAAATATGAGTACTTTTACACAAGTAAATTATTAGAGAAAAATCGGTACTCTTACTTCGCTACATTTTGCAGCATTCCTCCATTACCGTCAAATGATAATAAAAATGATACATATGTTTTGTTTGCAAATATCGCGAGGCGTCGCATTGGAGAGGTTGTGTCGCGATGGTGTCGCAAGAGGGTGCTATAGAGATGCGTCACCCTCTTTCTGTTAGGGCGCGGGCGCGCGCCTGTGTGTGTTGAATGATGGCTAACGAGGGAGACGTGCAAGTTATACTATATGACGATCATGCTGTCTGTGTAGTGAGTTTATCAGACCAGGTCACCCGGTCTCAAGTTCAGTCTGTTTTCACTCCAAGGTGTCACACACTCACACACACACACTGACTCTCACACACACACACACACACACACACACACACACACACACACACACACACACACACACACACACACATATACATATATATATATATATATATATATATATATATATATATATATATATATATATATATATATACACATATATATAAATGTAGGTGCATAATTGTAGGTCAGTGGCAGACAAAGAACCATGTCTCGGGTGTAAGTATGTGTATGAACCATCATTTAACAAACATAGGTTATTTTCACGACTCAACTTTTACCTTTCCTTTACATTTGCCAGTTGTTTTCCTCCCCACTGAGGATTGTGAGAATTAAAACTCACATGAACAAATATGAAGGGTAATTTTCTTCCACCAGATTTTCCAAATATTGATGTGATTGTAGCCAGGGATGTGACTGACAACAATTTCAGATGTTCCAAACACAGGCGGGAGGTGGAGTTGAGTTGGAACAGAGGGAGGGATGGAGGGCCAGGACCATGCAGTGGAGGTGTACCTGAAACGTGGAGTTGTGAAGGGCCTGGAACGTGGAGCTGTGTAGGGCCTAGAGCGTGGAGATGAGAAGGGTCTGGAACGTGGAGCTGCGGGGGGCCTGGAGAGTGGAACTGCAGAGGGCCTGGTGTGTGGAGCTGCAGAGGGCTGGAGCATGAAGCTGCGGAGGGCCTAGAGCATGGAGCTGCAGAGGGCCTGGAATGGAGAGCTGCGGAGGGCCTAAAGCGTGAAGCTGCGGAGGGCCTAGAGCAAGGAGTTGTAGAGGTATGTCTGAGGGCTTTGATTCAGCAGGCATAGACGGGTCATACACCCACAGTGGGTCAGGAGGCTTTGGTTCAGGAGGCACTGTCATGTCATTTAACCACAGTAAGTCAGGAGGCTTTAGTTTAAGAGGCACTGGCAGTTCATTCAACCCCAGAGCGTCAGGAGGCTTAGGTTCAGGATGCACTGGCAGTTCATTCAACCCCAGTGGGTCAGGTGGCTTTGATTCGAGAGGCACTGGCAGTTCATATAACCCCAGTGAGTCAGGAGGCTTTGGCTCAGGAGGCATTGAGAAGTCACACGGCTCTAGTGGCTCTGGGGGGGGTCATATGGCTTTAGCTGCTCTGGAAAGTCACATAGCTTTGGCAGCCATTCATGGGACTCAGGTGGCGGCTCTGGCCATTCAAGGGACTCAGGCGATGGCTCTGGCCATTCAGGATTTAGAATTATCTGGCGCCTGCCATTCAAGGGATTCAAAGGTGTCTGGCGCCCACCATTCAAGTAATTCAGAGGTATCTGGTGCCCACCATTCGAGAGATTCACAGGTTTCTGGCGGCGTCACTGGCTCTGGCAGCTCTGGTGATGGAGACTATGGCAGCGCTGGTGGCGAAGACTCTGGCAGTGGCAGCTCTGGAGGATCTGGCAGCTCTGGAGGTGGTGGTGGCAGCTTGTGCACTAACAGCTCTGGTAGTGGCAGCAGCTCTGGCAACTCAGGTGGTGGTGGCCATTCTGATGCCTCAAGTGATATCATTTCAAGAACAGAAATTATGACAGGAACCAAGGCAGGAACAGACTTGGAACACGAAGCCATCTTTTGGGCTGGTGACAGATTGGCGCTTAACATTTTATGAGCTGGAGTGCTGGTTGCGGCCACTTCTTGAGCTGGCAGACTGGAGGCGGCCATCTTGTGCTTGACTGGATTGTTGGTGGCCATCTTGTAAACTGGCTGTGGTCTAGGCGGAAGAACAGGGGACAGGAGTACAGGAGATACCAGCATAATGGTATTACTGGGTTGGGCAGCAAGCCCCTGTTGCCAGCAGGTCTTGCTGTTTATTGCCCCCCTCCAAAAAAATATTTATGGGTCTCCTCCTTTAGTCTTCTGACATTTCAATGTCCTTTGAGCTGCTGGCCTTCACCTATGTATACTCTTGTTTTTTTTTTTCTTGTTTTTTTTTTTTTCTTTTTGAGGATTTGATTTTGTCATTCTTTTTTTTGGATGAGTTTTGTCATGTTGATGAATCTTTGTGATTTATCTGAGTCTGATGGAGCACAATCTGACTTTGATTATCAACAAACTTGGTATATATGATACATTAGGACTTGCGTTTATGAATATATTGCAATCACTTAGGATGAAGCAAAATGTTGTTGTTCCAACCCATTGCTTAAAGCATGCATTAGATCTAATTTTGTTTCATGGAATTGAGGTCATATATATATATATATATATATATATATATATATATATATATATATATATATATATATATATATATATATATATATAGCCCTGGAAGTACTATCTTTCTGTCCACTAAAGACAATTTACAAATAACTTGAGAAATAATAGAGAAATTATCTTTCTCGATTTTTACGTGCACTCGCAAAGGCAAATGACCTTGATGTAGTAACTAGTAGTATGCATTCCAGACATTCCCACCTGACCTCTTAACTAGGAGGGAGGTGGAATGGAGGTTGACCAGGGGGAGGGATGGTGGGTCAAACATACATAAACTATAACATACATGGAAACAAGGTGGAACCATACAAGCCAAGGTGAAGTCCATGAAAGAAGTGAGCAAGTGAGCTTTGAGGATGTGATGCCCAAACTAAAGGCCACCATAGTGGTACAAATGCTGGAATTGGTGGCCAGCCTAAGGTATAAGGCCACCCAGACAGTGATGAATTAAACTTTGGTCTGTTTGGAACAAAAGTTTGTTTCGGTGGCAAGGGCCTTCCCAGCTTAGGAAGAGGCTTACCCCTAGATCTGGGTTGTGAAATGAAAGAGGACGAG